AAGAGGATCAATGGCCATTGACGTACCACTCATCTACATATTTATTAATCCATTTAGCTTTTGAGCTAATAAAGTTTTATGCTACACAGAAGAAGTTAAATCGAGCTTAGATATTCTGAACGGCCCACAGTGGTATTTTGGGCGGAAAAAGTTATGTTGTCAGATTTTGTCTTTTTTTATATTTATTACTAATACTATACCTTTCGGGTGATCCGGTTTTAAAAAAATACCTACATAAAAATTTAAAAATACATACATACTTGTTTCAAGTGACAGAAATCTGAAACGAACATCATCCTAACAGAACATTTAGTGCTTAACATGAAAGACATATGTCTAATTGTTGAAAATATTATTACATTACTTGAGTTTCCGTCCAGTATACATAAATATTTAATTTAAAGAAATTAGAATTTTTTCCGCGCATTGCATAATTCAACGGACTATATCTTTTTTCTTTTCCGACCCTTTTGTTGTGATATAGCACTAATTATGTTTGTACTAGTTAGGATTAATATATATACTCTATTCCAGCTGCAATTATCTGAAATTCTTTTTGTAAAGACTCATTTAACTAACAGACCTGTTTTTCTTCGAAACTAGCGCTGGCGTTAGAAATCATAGATAATGAAGGTTATTAACTTTTAAATGACGTAGTAAATTGTAAAAGTGTCAGTTATCATTTTTTACTCCATCTTCTATTATCTGTTTCAAAAAGTAACACTAAATTTAGCAGTTAACGCATTTTGCCTAAAAATTAAAATTTTTCTGGTTTTTAACCTTGAAAGATAAGTAGTTTTACCAACCGTGGGGCAACATTTATATATATATATAGAGTTTCTGCTTTCAATTTTTGTATAATACAGCTTGCACAAGTTTGCGCTTGGTATAATACGAGGACTTTTCCTTGCCTGTTTATGGCTTTTTAAAGCTTTTTGAGGTTAGGCTTGTATGGAAGGTACGCGATTTTGGACATTTTTGTATGTTTACTTATTCTATTACTATAAATATATGGACGAACTTTCGGGTTCTTACATTCATCGGTGCCTCTTAATGGCATTTTAGGGCGTTTTTGAGTTTAGGTTTATATAGGAGGTATGCTATAAAATAAATCGATGACGCCATTTTTTTCTTTTTTTTTTCTTGATTTATGTCCATGAGGGTTACATACGGAAAATTGCAGTTCTACGCCGATTCCTTCTAATTTAAAAAAAAAAAATGGTCATGGCGGTACCACTGAGTGGCCTTGCGAAAATCATAGAATCTTATTCCAACTAAAAGAAGGCAACTTACGCAGAGGAAGGCCTGAAGAAAATCCCAAGGCGGCTCTGACATTTTTTTCGTTTAGCAGCAAAACGACATTGCAGAAGAAAATTTCACAGAAAAATAAGGCATAAGGTTGGAAGCGATGGATAAATTTACCATAAGAGTTTTCGGTCATAGCTCAACAAGCGGGATAAATTAAATTTGCAAAGCGGAGAATCGCTAAAATATCTGCATATTTATAACGGGTGATTTTTTTGAGGTTAGGATTTTCATGCATTAGTATTTGACAGATCACGTGGGATTTCAGACATGGTGTCAAAGAGAAAGATGCTCAGTATGCTTTGAAATTTCATCATGAATAGACTTACTAACGAGCAACGCTTGCAAATCATTGAATTTTATTACCAAAATCAGTGTTCGGTTCGAAATGTGTTTTTATCGACAAATTTTGTTCAGCGATGAGGCTCATTTCTGGTTGAATGGCTTCGTAAATAAGCAAAATTGCCGCATTTGGAGTGAAGAGCAACCAGAAGCCGTTCAAGAACTGCCCATGCATCCCGAAAAATGCACTGTTTGGTGTGGTTTGTACGCTGGTGGAATCATTGGACCGTATTTTTTCAAAGATGCTGTTGGACGCAACGTTACGGTGAATGGCGATCGCTATCGTTCGATGCTAACAAACTTTTTGTTGCCAAAAATGGAAGAACTGAACTTGGTTGACATGTGGTTTCAACAAGATGGCGCTACATGCCACACAGCTCGCGATTCTATGGCCATTTTGAGGGAAAACTTCGGAGAACAATTCATCTCAAGAAATGGACCGGTAAGTTGGCCACCAAGATCATACGATTTGACGCCTTTAGACTATTTTTTGTGGGGCTACGTCAAGTCTAAAGTCTACAGAAATAAGCCAGCAACTATTCCAGCTTTGGAAGACAACATTTCCGAAGAAATTCGGGCTATTCCGGCCGAAATGCTCGAAAAAGTTGCCCAAAATTGGACTTTCCGAATGGACCACCTAAGACGCAGCCGCGGTCAACATTTAAATGAAATTATCTTCAAAAAGTAAATGTCATGGACCAATCTAACGTTTCAAATAAAGAACCGATGAGATTTTGCAAATTTTATGCGTTTTTTTTTAAAAAAAAGTTATCAAGCTCTTAAAAAGCACCCGTTATATCTCTTTCGTACCAGGTAGGGGCGAATGCAGGTATGGGTTTTGGGGGTTCAAACTCTCCGCCCGCAATACCTGCGGAAAATTTTAAGCATTTAATTTTCATTTAGTTAGTTGCGTAAACCAAGACACTACTGTTTTTATTTCCGTAAAAGTTTGTATGAACTTTCAACTATTTTCAAAAATCTGCATATAAAGAACAAACCAAGGTGAATCAATACAAGGTTGGAAGCGTAAAAATAAGTAAATAATTAGAAAATATAACAGTAACTGGAAATTTACTTTCAACTGGACTAAATAGTGATGTTGATAGATAACTCGCACGCCCGCACTCACGGAAATGACGTTTTTGGTATTTTTCATAGGATGTGACCACCAGAATAGGATGGCTGTAGATATTTCATCTAGTTATAATGTACTGTCAAAAGGACAGCCCATCTGAAGTATGTTGACTTAAACTTGCAACAATGCTATTTCGGCATGAGCTGTGAGTACTTTAAGACCATTAAAAAATAGCCGGCAACCTTGAATTCATTTTCTTTATATTGCATATAAAATTATATCCGAATTTCAAGTCATCTGAAGTATGTTGAGTAATCGACTTTTATCGCCATCGCTGTTTAGCAGCCGACCCTCCGGAACTCGATTTATATAATAACAAAGCTAATCTCACAAAAATGTTCAATCATACTGAAGTATGATGGGTGTTTTGGTCATGAGCTGTCCATCTAGATGCTCTGGTAACACTACCTTGTATGAATTCGCCTTGGAACTTACATGGTCCCTTAAAGTACTACATATTTACTAAATCCATATCTTTGGTTTGAATTTTAAGGTTTTCGAATCTTTCGAAATGGTAAAAATATGTAATTGAACTCAAACTGCATCTTTCAGCATTCTGCATGTTCAATATCATTTAGAGTTTCGACTTAAACGCGGCGTAACTGACCCATATTTTGAGATACAATTAACTTACCAATCTGGGAGAAAAGGTGTATTTTCAACATCCGTGAATCACCAAAACAAAAAATTCTACGTTTTAAATGCATTCTGTAAAAATAATTAACTATTTTAAACTGAAAATTTCTGACCCTCCGGCTGCCGAATTTGTAAACGAGTGTCCATATAAATTTTGAAAATGTTGATTTGTTAAGTTTACACATTTATTACTTTATGCAGTTTATAATGCAATTATTAAGTTTGATGAATAGCCATTCCTAGACGCACTTGATGCTTGGAAACAATCACTTACCTAAAAGTATCCGATTCTTGCAGATAGGCGCAACACTTTCCGTGACAGTTGCTTCCAGCGAACGCAAGTGGGGGACAAGGATTAAATGGTTTAGCTTTACTTAACATCCACTGAGTTATAGAAGTTACGAACGAAAAAATATTCAGTACAATTTATTCTTTTAAAGACGAAGCATTGGAGAAATAATATTTGTAATTTTTTCATGCACACATACATATGAGTAGTCCACTTGCAATGTGCGCTATCTAAATTTTTTTTTTCCATTTTTAGTTTTTGATGGGTAACGCAATACTGGTAGTTTTATGTCCCCTAACAACACAATACAAAATATTTCAATATTCAGAAAAATAGCATCAAATATTAACTACTCTGGCAAAAGTCGCTATCATACTTATTTATAAACTTTCAAAGGTCTATATCTTCTGATAAACTTACAAAACTACTTTATGTCGTATAGACTGTTAATGTTATTTTTTGCTAGGTTATAATGTTATTAGGTTATAAAAAAGATTCAATTTAAATGTTACTTCTTGTCGTAGTCGTTTTTTTTTTAATTTATGGCTTACTCTAATAAAATCACATAACCCTGTTTGCAAGTGGACTACTCATATGTAACTAGTCGAATTTATTTCAAGAAATTAAAATATAGACATATTGGACGGAACGTATATTTGGTGGAAATGATAAAATGAAAAAATAAATAAATAAGTAAATAAAATTAAAAATTCCGATTGTTCCGAAAATCACGAAATAGTCCAGAGGATTCAAAAATCCTTAAATAGTCTTGAAAATCATTGAATAAAAACGAGCCAAATAATGATTTAATTCTGCATCGTTGCGAATTAGATAACTGTTTACACAAAATTTCGACGGTCAGTGCAATTGGTATGGTAATTGTAAATACATATTCAATACCAATACACGCATTCTATGGATGTAAATATGTAAGTATTTATGTACACACATATCTATGTATGTTTTTCGACACATTAAATATTAGTGCTATTAGTGAGCTTCGTGCCAAACTTCCAGCTCTTTTCAATAAACTTTAAAAATTACCATAACATTACACCACTACATAAAGCACTCCTTAATTGACCGAGCGGCATATGTTGCACTATCAACATTTTATAGATATGTATGTATGAGTATACATACGTACGTACATATGTGCTTGTACATGTACCGTAGGTAATTTACCGCCTCTCTTTACCGCTACGCACTCAGGCACCACAGCCACCCCCTCCCGCCACAGCCCTCGAGATTTTGCTGGCATTCTTTTTTGATTTATGGTCTTTGTCTTTGCAGTTCATCCTGTCATTCAAGTACCGAATCAATTAGTTGGCGCACCGCTTGGCACTGATGTCCAGATCGAGTGTCACGTCGAGGCCTCACCAAAATCAATTAACTACTGGATTAAGGACACTGGTAAGTTAAGTTAGAATGTTGTTGGTGTATACATACATATGTACATACACAGTAACCGCACTGTATATGATGTGATGTGATGTGAGCGGTAACTATGTATATTGCTGTTGTTGAATTGTTGGCAGCGACGGTAATGGTGAGTCATTATTTTTGCATTTTATAGACATTTCCAACATGTGGTGCCATTACGGAACTCAACACATACTCATATAAATATATGTTCGTATGTATGTAGCTACGTACGCTTGGCCCAGTTATACAGTAAATGAATATAGAGTCAACTAGTGAAGCAATCAAAGGTCAAATAGCCAACCATCGGGGTCATAACTAGGTTTGCTAGACAATGATCTGTATAGTTTATATGTTATAGTACATACATACATATGTAGTTATTGGATGAATGTAATTCGAGAGGATCTATAAATAATTGTGAAACTGTGAAGTTAATGAGCATAAATTAAGTCAGTATTATGGGTAAATTTTATGGCGAGAACATAATGTCTTTTTTGCAAAAGTTGTGAGATATATATTAAATTATTAATTTATATTTAAAATGACAATCTCGTTTTATTCTCTCACAAAAATAAGAATTAGTCCAAATCTTCACTAGAATCTCTTTAACAATTTTTGTAAGGGGTTTTCAAACCGCGCCAAATGCAATATGTATACGTATGATGTGGCGCTGAAAAAAAAAATCATTTTGGTTATACCGTCTCAATTGCTGCCTACTTCGTAAAGTTAATGGCGAATAATTATACACAAGTAGTAGAAACTTATAGTTGGTAAGCTCAGTTAGAACTCCATTTAAAAGTTTGAATAAAAACGCTTTTTTTTTTGGTATTTTGTTAAATTTTCGGACTATCTTGTATTATATGTATGTATTATTGTATTGGATATGCAGTTATAGTTGGTCGACTATACTCAAATCTTAATCTTGCGAGCGCCTTCGCTCATCCTGGGGAACGTGAACAATCCAGGCAGCTTTAGTAGGCAACTCCGACGCACAGTGGTGCAAAGGCAAAATTGTATATTCAAAAAGGACGACAGCCTCAATTCTTGATTGATTAAAGATCTTTTAATTGCAGGAAAATTTTTAATTGTAAGATAGTAAAAATCTTTGGAGGTTTAAGGAGCTACTTTTTATACCCGGGCGCGCTTGTGCACAACTTCCCAAATAACGGTAATTTACAGAAAGACGAAAACTGCGATAAATCAGTAACTACTGAAGTCAATTGACTGCAAACCGATTTTTGCAATAACCACTGAGCACAAAATTCGGTTATTATAAATTTCTTGATTTTGGGCGTAGCGCCGCCCACTTAAGACCACGAATGTGTAACTCGATAACCGATTTTGCAATTTCTACAAAACTCGGTGCACTAAATAACATTGGTACGGAAAAGAAATTCGTTAAAAATTATTAAAATCAGACTAAACCTACACCCGGTAAATTTTGGATATACGAAAACTCCGATATTTCAATAACTGAGGACGCTCATGTACTGCAAGTTAATACTAACAACAATCTGTTAACAATTAATAAGAGTGTTATAGACTTTTAGGTAGTTTAGGGAAAGTTAGGACGACGGTATTTGGGTTTCGCCCGAACTTTTACTTCTTTAGTTGTTAAAAAAGTATTTGCTTTTTTAATTAACAATTTCGATTAAAGAAAAAGAGTTGATCATAAAATTATATTTTGTTAGTAATTCACTTTTCATTAAAATTACATGTTTTCGAGATATTTTTACAAAAATTGTAAATTTTTCGATTTAATAAAAAATAAAAGTTTGGCTTAGCTTCGGCGTGCGTCTTGATGTTGTCACACAAAGGAGAGGGACCTACAGTTTTACGCCGACTCCCAACGGCGATTGTATTTTTATGAGAATCTATTTTTCATGGCAGAAATACATTCGGAGATTTGCCATTGCCGGCCTAGAGGCGAACGCTATTAGAAAAAACATTTTTTTTTTATTAGTCGGAAACTGGGCTCTATCCTATACCCTGCGTAATGGTAGTGTGCACTTATAAATAACCACTACACCGTTTTTTTATTGAAAAAGTATATAGGCCTACGACTCTACTTTTTTTTATCCATTTCTTAAAACTAATACAGTATACATGTTTAAAACAAGGTAGATTTAATATTTACTGGTTTATCGAAGATTTCGTATTTCTCTAAATTACCGTTATATGGGATGTGGGCGTAGTTATTATCCGATTTTTTAAATTTTCAGTCGTTTGGTATGTTGTATCAAGGCCAATAACTGTGCTGAGTTTGGGAGTAATTGGTGAAGCGGTTACCAAGCTATGTATACACAAACATTTAAAATATTCTAATTTTTTGTCTAAAAATCATTGCAAATATCCATTTTGAGTAACTAAGATTCAGTAATTACTAAAACATCACTGTTATGTGAACAAAGTTATAACACCCTTGTGCATAAGTGCGCTCGGGTAAAAAAAAAATAACCCTATAAACATTCGAACTCATTTTAGAGTCAAAAAGTCTCAGAATTCTGACCCTCTTAATGAGCTCAAAAAATAGTCAGAAAAGAGCATATTTCCCTTCCTAGAAGGACACGCCAATACGAGTATAAGTCAGGAGTTAGGAGATCTTAGGGCAGCGCATAGAAGGGCTCTGGGCCGATGAAAGGGTTGAATGCACCTTTCTTCGCTAGTTTATCGGCTATCTTGTTCCCTTTAATACCAATATATTCCGGAATCCACAGAACGTAAACTCGATTGGTCAGACCAAGAGTATTTAGCTTGTCCAGGCACTCTATCATCCGTTGAGATGTTACCTCTTGAGATCTGAGGGCTTTGATAGCCGCTTTGCTGTCGGTCAAGATGACGATATTCTGATTCTGGTAGTTTCGTTTGATATTAAAGTCCGCGCATCTTTCTATGGTGTACGTTTCAGCCTGGGAAATGGACATAGGTTTTCCCATGGTTTCCGAGTATCTTAACCTCGGTCCAACTACACCTTTCCCGGTACACTCTTCGGTCGATGAGCTATCAGTGTACCAAGTAAACATGTTTTGGCTTATCCGATATGTCTCAGATATACCTGCCCAGCTCTTTAACGGCGTTGCGGCAAGCTCTAAAACTTTATGTTGTTTTTACGAGGAAGTGTTTTAATAAAGCAATATAGCTAAAAATTTGACATTCAGAATTTGTTTTGAACTTTAGCAGAGACTCTTATTTGTAAAACTACTTAATTTGCTATAAAGTATATTCAAATTGACTCTTTGGCTTTCCGCTTGCTATTTTACATTTGCGTTATTTCTACGTGCGCAATTAAGTATAATTAATTTCTCTATATAACCAACAGGTGAAATGATTGTATCCTCATCAAGATATCATGTGCAGGAGTCCTCGAAATCCATGTACGAGACGAAGATGACAATGATTGTGCGTAAATTCCAAAAAGATGATGTCGGCTCATACCGTTGCATAGCGAAGAACTCACTCGGTGAGGTGGATAGCAGCATAAGGCTTTATGGTAAGTTCAAAATGTACTTTTCCACCAACAACTGCTTTTTCATTTACTCCCGGCCATCGAGTTTTACATATTTTTTTCCATTCCAGTTTTTTATTTTACTTTTCACTTTTTTTTACGTTGTCTTATGCTTTTCTCTTTATTTCAATTATCTTGGCCAATTTTCTGTCCATGCTGATGGTCGTAAAGTAGAGCGCGCGCACTACAGCGACTTTGATTAACATTCGCGTGAATTTACTTGATTTTCTTGGCCGTTTGCATTTATGTTTTGTATTTTTTCGCTTCATTTGTTATTGTGGCATTTACTTACACTTTTATTCACTTCATGTTTTTTTATTTTATATATTTCATTTCATGTCGTTACTCGCACCACAGAAATTCCCGGTCCAAATCGTAAAAATCCAGCGGGCAAACATGCCGGTGGCAGCAGCGATGCGGACACCAATGACGTGCTAAAAATGAAGCAAGTCAAAGTCACATATCAGCCAGACGACGAAGACCTATACGGCTCAGCGGAGGATTTCGATGACAGCGAATTACCGTCGCCGCCGTTAACGCCAAACATCTACTACGCGAATGGTCAGAAGTCGGCGACACATCGGCCGGCCATGTCCGGCGCCGGCACTGGCATCGGTGGAGGTAGCGGCGGGCAACTCGCCTCGGCTGGTGGTGCATCAGACGGTCGCCATCACCATCATAATTCAGGTGGTGTCGGCGGTGGTGGTGGTGGTGGCATTGGCGGAGTCGGTGGTATTGCCAATCTCGATTTCGGCAACCTGGGTGCCACAAGCGGCGGCGGCATTAGCATTAGTAGCGGTTTCGCGGTGGCGTACTTTGGTAGCATAGCGCGCAAGCCTCCGTTTTATGACAGCTTTGTCGGCATGTTTGGTGGCAAAACGGAAGTGCGCGACGCAGTGGAGAATAACGAGCTGCGATCGGCGGTCGCGCGGACACAACATGAGGGGCGCTTTGCGTCGGTGTGCCACAATGGCTGCTGGTGTTGGTGGTGGTGGCGGCAACAGCTGAACGAAAGCCATTACCGTTGGCTTGGTCAGTGGCTGCAGACGCTGTTCGCTTTGCTCGTTTCCACTTTAATCACTTCATTCTGTGGGAATTTATTATAATACGCGGTTGTCGTTAAATGTCAATGCGTTGCCCCAGCGCGGCCTGCCGTTATGCGCGTCGACATTCATTTCGGCGAGGATGTGAGTGACGCACAAACCATGGTGCGCGCGCCGGTGTTCAACGGATGCTGTCAATGTGTCGAATGTGTCGAATGCGCCGATGTTGCATGTAGTGTCTCCTGTTGCAGTTGCTAGTTGAATTTTGCGTTGCAGTGTGTTGCGTTGAAAATGAATTTAAACAGGTTTGTATGAAATGTTTAACCTTTAATACAAAAAAAAATAATAATGAGAATTAGTTTAGCTAAAATACAAAAGAAACATAATAAGTTGATTGAAATATCGAAAATAAAAGGAAATCAGCTAATAACCGATTTTTCACTTTCTGTAGACCAGCATTTGAATATTAAGCAGATGCAAAAAAATGTTAAGCTGTTAGTCAAGTTACCTAGTAATTGGAGTTGATAAAAGTTAAATGTTACGAAAGCGAAATAAACAAAAACAATAATTGCATAAATAAACATATTTTGTATATACTAATTGAGACATGAGATGAATATAAGCACATATTTAAATGTATGCTCATCGATTGCAATGATCAGTAAATATGTATAGTAACTCTTACTTAGTATGCAGTTAGGTATATTTGATAAGGACAACAATCATTTACTGATTAAGGTAATCTAAAGTAAATACACAAAATTTCAATTTGTAAATATCAATACTAAAATATATAGGTTAGGTTATGCGCATTTTTTATTTACACTTTTTTTCGGTGTTTCCATTGAATGCAACCATTTCTCACTCATATGTGAGATGTGGCACACTCATCTAACCGATTTCAAATTATTCTTTGAACCTTGAGACATAAGAAAAAAAATAAAACTCAGTTTTCAAGCTCTAAAAGAGATCGAATCTCCTGTTCCAGTTAATAAATTTTGCATAATGCAAACAACAAAATTTAACGAAAAACAAAAAAAAATATCTCAAAAAGAATAAAAATTAATGTTATAAAAAATTGTCCACCAAAATTAGATTTTTTTGTTTTTAGACAAATTTTGGGTATTCAGTTTTATATATCAATACATTTTGAAAGAATAAAGTGTTAGTTACAAGTGCCTAAGAGTTCGCGTTGATTTTTGATAATACAAACACTTTTATTTCCCATTTATCTGGCAGATGTGCTCAAAATGTTAGCGAAAAAAATAACTAAAAATCAACCAGTCCTCTTAGCCACTTAAAACTTGCATTTTTTGTATACCAAAAATTTTTTGGTCTATAACATTGCATACCCCAAATTTTTCGGAAAACTCAAAAACAATTTATTTTTAATTTTGGTGAAAATTTTGTTTATAACATTTAAAATTTTTCTTTTTTCCTTTTGAGGGAACCCTACAATTTTTTCAACTAGTTTTTATTATATACATATAACAGTTAAGGAACAGGTAAATCGATTTTTTTCAAAATTGCTACTTTTTCTGCACTTTGCACTAAAAAATTTAATATTAAGAAATAAAGATTCAAAAATCGGGCTCAACTGGTCTCTTGCTAGTTCTATACGCTTTCATTTAAAAAGATTAATCCAATTGGTTGAAAATTGAAGGCTGCAAAGAATTATGAACAGTAATTTCCAGTTTTAAACCACTGTGCGGTGATATTTTTTAAATTCTTCAGTTCTGGCCGGTGACTGGGAAAAAATGTTTTGAACCAGCCTAATGCACATGTGTACATAGATACCATTCAATAGATATTATAACTCACTGACAGATTTAAACAAGCGCGTTGAAAGCGAAATTTATACTCAAATGCAGAAGGGGAGCTGCTCCTACTTGTGTAGAGATATACATGAATAACAGTGTCTGCAGTCATAATTAGAAATGATACAGAAGCCGGAACTGTTCGAAATGCGATACATACTACGTTTATACGCACAGAATAATCGACTTAATTCAAAGCGCATTGACACCGTACACATTTCGCTGTAGTGTTTATGCTTACGGCTTTATATCGGCATCAAAGTAACCGTCTTCAAAAGCAAACAAAATCAGCTGTTTTCATTTGACATTTTATAAGTTAACGTAATGGAAAGTGAGAAAAATCTAGTTTTATTCGGCATTATAAAATCGTGGCAAAGAAAAAGAACGATTGTTATTAATCAGCTTTTAAATACTGATGCGAATATTTGGAATTCAAACAATGAAAAAAGAAATAATGTGAGAGAATTGGTTGGGTCCCAGGCTAATTTACCAAACATATTTTTTGCTACGAATATGCCTCGAATTCGACGTTTCCACAAACGGAAAAGGAAGGAGAACTTCTGGTGGACGCTGCAGCAGCCAGAAAATGATGAGTGCTACATCGAAGCTTTCCGTATGAGTAAAAAATCGTTCCTACTGCTTTGCGAAAAACTAGAGTGCTTTCTTAAAAACGATTGTGTGCCATGTATCACTCCACCCCTTGCTATAGAGAAGCAAGTAGCCATTTGTTTATATAAATTGGCTTCCTGTGGAGAATACCGAGTTATTGGTGATGTCTTTGGTGTGCACAAAAGCACTGTTCACAAATATTTTCACCTCGTCGTGAACGCGTTAATTCAGCTAAAAACAGAGTTTATCAAGTTTCCACAGGTGGGAGATGCGTTATTAATTGCAAGTGAATTTGAGAAAAAATCGCATATACCAAACATTATTGGCGCTATCGATGGTAATTTTAACCAACCTGAAGGCTTATATGCATATCCATACATAACTAAAACTCTGGAAATTAAACATTTTAGGAACCCACATACCGATCTTGCCACCAAGTCAAGGATACCTAGATTATATTAATAGAAAGGGGTGGCCTTCCATCGTAATGCAAGGAGTGGTGGATAGCAACTACATGTATGTATATGCATGCATATGTACATTAGAACCAATGGGAAACATTTTTACATTTTGTTACTTTAGTAGTTAAATAAAGGCGGACCTCCATAGTATGCGCATCCGTATGCGTGCGTTTGACATTTACGCTTAGAAATCAAAATTCATACAATTTTCTTACATTTTGATGCGTTGCTATGTAGGTGCTGCCATAAACATTTGTATATTCAATTTTTCTGTCAAACGCACGCATACGTATACGCATGCTATGGAGATCCGCCTTAAGTTGTTAAAATACCCATATTATATAACGATATATTGTAAAAAATTACATTTTTTTATTAAGGTTCACAGATGTCAGCGTTAAGTTACCTGGAAGCACTCATGACGCGACGGTTTTTAAGGAGTCGGGATTGTTTAAAAACTCATCGACATTAATTCCGAGGCATACAAAATTAATAAATGGTGTTGAAACGCCACTATTTCTTATTGGAGATCCTGCGTATCCACTTCTTCCCTGGTTAATAAAACCATACACCGGAAGTTTGAATGCAGCCGAAGAATCTTTTAATTGCCACTTGAGTTCTGCCCGAATAGTCGTCGAAAATGCTTTTGGTCGACTTAAAGGTCGTTGGCGATGCCTAACTAAAAGAATTGATGTGAATCCTACTTTCGTTCCGCAAGTTGTCTTAGCTTGTGCTATATTACATAATTTTGTTGAACAACAGAAAGAATCCTATTTAGAAACGTGGGCACAATCAGCTCTAAATATAAGAGAATTTCCGCAGCCTCAAGACACCCTTTCTAGTGAAATAATTTTTGATGACAATGTTGACCCTAAGCATTTGCGAAACAATTTGAAAAATTTTTTAAAAGACAATTTTCCTTTGAAAACCACTTATTTTAATTACTGACTACCAAACTCAAAAAGACTAATTATATAGCTTTAGTAAGAAGCAATTATAATTAAAAGCTATCATAATTCTTTACCACTGATCAAAATAATAGCACCTAGACATTTTGACCAGTTCTGACTATTTTTCTTTTGTTTGCTTAACGTTCGCCGATTTTTCAGAAAATTATAGCGCATTATATGACAAAAGCCATATAACTCCAAACTTCAGTTTTTTATACAGAGCTTAGAAAAATTCAACAAATTTTCATTAAAATTTTGAACTTTTATTCTGAATTTCTAGAAAATTTTTGGGTACAGCCCATACAATTTTAGTCAGATGAAGTGCAAGTTTAAACCTGCTAAAAATCGCGTTGATTTTTTTAGTTTTTTTTGCTGACGACTTTAACGTTTTTTTCATACAACAAGTGCAATTTATAAAATATGACGGTGATTTGTTTAAAATTTCTTAGCAAACGGGCTAGTGCATTTTCTTCCATAAGAAATGCATGCCAGCAAACTGCAAGACTATAAAATTGCATACCCAAAAATTTTCTAGAAATTCAGAATAAAAAGTTCAAAATTTTAATGAAAATTTGTTGAATTTTTCTAAGCATTAACCATACTTTAATAAAAAATAACAAATATTTCAAAAACGGTGACACTTTTGCCTTAAATTTGTTTGCTTATCAGGGAGCTCACCCCACCACCTACCATCTCCTCAAGTTAGGCTTGTTATTTTCGGACACCCTGTATAAAAGAAAAATAGTCCGACCTGATAAAACTGTTCAGGTGCTTTTGTATCATACATTTTAGTTAAAGAAACTAGCTGTATTATTTTATAATTACTTTAAAATTTGTTCAAATACTTTTGAAACTTTCATTTAATTATAATTTTCTTTGTCTGTTTCGACGCACATGAGATGAGAAATTGAATGAAATTTTGTAATGAAAAAATGAATATTTTACGTTGGCCTAGTTATTAAAAAAGCATCAGTTATGTTTTTAAATTTAAATTTTTAATTAAGTTAATTTAATTTTTATATGGCGTCGTACCGAAGTCCTATCTAGCGATGCGATAACTCAAAAACTAATAAACATAAGTACGTATATGTATGTATAAATATGCATAAGCGCATGTTGATTTAATTTTATTTAATGTATGGCAACAGTATATTAAACATTTAAAAAAACAAAAAGTTCACAAAAGACTACAAATAAATGCATTTCGTACTCATTATATGTTTATATACAGCGGCGCTCACGTAAATCGCACACCTAGATTTTTTACAATGTCACGTTTTCGTAAAGTTTTTGTAAAAATATAGTAGATTCTATAACATAAACCATATAAGGCAAAGTTAAAAACCGTGTGCACAATTCAGGAAATTTTTTTAAAGATTTAAAAAAAAATTCATCAAAATTTTGCACTTTTCAGAATCCTTAGAAACTTATGGGGTATGCAGTTTTGTAGCCTATTCAATTCTAGTATAATAAATCATAAATATAATAAATCACGTTAAACACTGAATATTGTAAACAACGAAAGTGTGCTCTTTACGTGGGCGCCACTGTAAATGTAATTGAAAATATGAATGTTGTGAATGAAACAAGCGATGAAAAGTGTTTATTCTGGAGATTGCTGTGACCTAAAAATATCAAATTCACCAGGCGTTGCTGATACGATTTCCGGGGCCAAAGCAAGTGAGGGTGAGAGAAAATGATGAGGCATGTAAACAGGAATGTTTGACGGTTGTGACATCTGCATCGTGCTTAACAGAGAAGAAAACATCTTGGCGGTTTCGTGGCGATCATCCTCTAACATTTTTTGCGTCTCTTTGCGATTTCTTTCTAATAGAAGTTCCACTTTACTAAAATGGGTTTCGTCTTGCTTCTTCAAGGAATCGACTAAGTTTTCCTGCATTTTTTTCCACTCGTTTGTAAAAGACTCCATAGCTTTCAGATATGAGTTTTTTTCTGAAAATACATAACATGTCTTTATGATATGCAAACACGTCTTTAACCACAATACTTAACGCACTTTGATTTTTGAACGTTTTCGGATTACGAGGAGTACTGCATGCGGGACTGGATTCCGAACCATCGGCATGATCGTTTTCTTCAATACAATCTGCTTCCACTTCTAAATAGCTGCTTTGCGAAGTATTTGTGTTGTCTGCTGGCCGCTCGGTTTGTGAAGTGTCCACGCCCTCTACAGATACTGCAGGTCGATGACCAAGCACTTCATCTAACATTTCGAAATAATCACAGGTTTGTCTTTCAGCACCACTGCTATTATTATTCCGCTTGGCTTTGTAATAATCGCTTTTCAGCGATTTGAACTTCGCTCTAATTTGGATGGCGTCCTTTTTGATTCCTTTGGAATTCAATGCACGAGCCACTTCTTCAAAAATGCTTCGATTCCTTTTTATTTTGCTGTCCAACAATTTTAATATATGCTTTTCTTTTATAATAGAAATCATTTCTATTATTTCTTTTTCTCTCCATATATTTCTTTTCTTTTTATTTTCCATTTTATTTCACATTTCACACCAGCTTGTATTTCTTTGCTGAAAATCAACTTGAGTTTGGCATACAATGCTGCCATTCCTCTTCAATAAGAGCTGCAGCAGAAAACTTTAGTAGCACTGAAGTTTTTGAAACAAATTAAGCTTTAATTCGCATGAAAAAAAATTGGTAATACTTGAAATATACTTTATTTAAGATAAATAATTTACTATCAAATGTGTTAATAAATTAGTTAATGTTTTACTTTACAATGTTAAAACAAATTGCAATAAATCTTAAATTAAAGAAATTGTGGTAACACTGTTCGTATGCTACATTGAGCGGAACAGCTGATCTCCAATTCGCTTTGAGTGAGAGCGGTGTTTATACACTCTTTCTAACTGTCTGGAGAAATAAACTACCGATTTGAAATGGAGTGTGAGCCAAAACACTTCGCTCTTTCAAAGCGAATTGAAATTCAGTTTATACATATGTTCTGAATCGCGGCGAAATGAATTAAAGCGACTTAGGCATGCGTATAAACGTAGTAACAGTAAATTTGAATAAGACAAAAGAAGCTTTTGCTGTGGTGCCAGTCAATTCATTTAATACACACAAACATAAATGAACAGTATGAATTTGTGTTATATGTATATATGTATGTATGTATATTCAAAGGTGATGAAGAGTTACACTTTCCAATCGATTGCTAAGCAAATGTCAGTGAATCAATTCAAAAGAAAGTGAGTGACAAAGGAGCGTTTTTTATTTTTGATTTTGGTAAATTGCATTAGCCCTTTGCTTTAATTAGATTTGTTGTTAAACACCTTTGGTTGCTATCTTTTATCTTTTTTTCATTTCTTTATAAAATTATTTTTTTATTTGATTCATCTCGCGTTCTGTTTTGTAGTTTAGAAATGTCTGCTTTTCGAACTTTGATTAATAATCGGTTTTTGTTTGATTGAGTTTTTGGCATTTTGCGCGGCAAATGAAATGGGTTAATGAGGTTATTTGACTGCCCTTTACGCTTGAGTGCGGAATTTTTTCCTTCATGGAATTTTCACATTTTGCTTATGGCAGTTTTTTCGGCAAAAAAGGTTTGTGCCAATGAACAGTTCTCTTCACGTTTTACCTTACGCTTTTGTAACTAATTATTTTAAAACAAAATTCATGACAGCTTTCATTTTTATGCTCTTTTTTGAGTAACCCCTAAAAGTTATTATTATTACTTATTTAAAGTTTTTTCTGTTTTTGTTGCTGCAACAGGCCGCTTCAATTAAAAACTGAAGTCAATTTATTGTTTACTGCATCAAACTTTTTTATCAAGTTTTTGTGCTTTTAAACAGAAAACAACAATCAAAAAGTAGCTTTTACGTACCAAAATTACTTCGACATTTGTTGCCGCATACCAAAAAAAAAAACATTACTTGTATTCGAGTCGCTTGCAGAGTTTATGCTACCAAACTGTAGAAAGCGCAGCTGTCAAAAATACAAGGAAATGTCAAAAATTTATAATTTATGCAAATTAAATGTTGCGCACTAATACAGTGACACATAAGCACACATGGGTAAACATGTGCTGATATGTAGCTTAACTCGTCCATATGTGTGTACATATGTATATTTGTATGTATGTATACTCATATTTGTATGTAAATATGTGCATTTTTAAGCTATGAGGAAAACTCGCTTGTCATTCAACTTGACATTTCAATGCGAAACAGCAGTACATGCACACTTACACCTATATTTTTATATATAAATACACACACACCTACATATTTAGTTAAGTGTTCCTCAAATAAGCGCACCACTTACGATTGCCAGTCGCTCAAGTTGCGCATTTTTCATGCAACATGACAACATCTTGAAGAATACTCTAAGTAATGCTTGCTGCTATTCCTCTGGCTGTTGCTGCTGCTGGAGCGTGTGGCACAACAGGCAGCGCTGATAAAATTTTCTTGGCAGTATGCACTTGGAAAAGGTTAAAAACTTAAAGATGCACTTCATCATGTTTTCCCAGCAAAACGTAAGAAAACAACTATAAAAAAAAACAAAAAAATTACAACTGCTATATGCAACTAAAGCTGTGGAAATGTTATCAGCACAAGTGCAAGTAAACAAGTTGCCACCGCTTGCATGCACACACATACATATACATATATATACAAATTTTCATAGCCACATACATACATACATACATGCTTTTCTAAAGACCCTGCAGTAAAATTTAGAGACAGTCTCTTAAAGCGCTAGTTCCGCCCTACACATTTCAGAACCATCTCTGAACTAGTGCAAAACGGCTGCAGAGAGGGACAGTTGAAACTCTCGGTGTGTTAGTTTCGCTCTGTTGAGAAGTAAATGCACAAATTCTCACTTCTCGTACAATACGAAAATAGCTCAGCGGGAAGACCTCAGACTCTAATATCGTTGGTCACGAGTTCAAATCGCGGAGGAGGCAGTTGTGATTTTCAGATTTAATAAATTTAAATTGTTGAGTGCCGTTTAAAAATCGAAGAGAAAACGATCAAATTTAATATAAGTAAAATAAAAGAATAATAAAAAATAAATAAAATGCAATCTGCAAAAGAACATAAAAAAAAATTTAAAAAATCGAATAATCAAAATCTTTTTCATAAAAAAGTTATCTGTCCAAAATGGAAACAGTTTTGAAAAGGAAAAATATCCAATAATCTAGTTTTAAATTTTTGGTTTTTCATAAAAAACTTATTGTCCCAGAACTGTCGAAAATGGAACCAGTTCAGAACTAGTTCGAAAGTTCTGCAGAGGTGGCAATTTTCACTTCGT